TGTGTGTGTGTGTGTGTGTGTGTGTGTGTGTGTGTGTGTGTGTGTGTTTAGGGGCCACAGAAGCCTCTTTCCTGGAGATTCCCGCACTCACCTGTACCTGTGTTGTGGCCGCTCTATTCTGGCTTTTGCTGACGCTCTTCATACGCAAACTGAGACAGGTGAGATAAAACAAGGTAGAGTTGTTTTCGGTGGTACGATGAAATAAATATACGCTGCATATTCGTGGTTGTCTATGTACGTTTCTATCATAGTTTGCGCTGTATAATTCCACTTTTCTGATTATATGACTTTGAAATAATTTTTTATTTACCGATTAGATTAGACATTGTGAGTTTATTGTCACATGTATACTCCGTTTAACATAAACATGTATTAATATTAATACAACTAATAGGTATAATACATATTAATTACTCAGTTGAGAGGATTTAAATTGATTTTCTAAAAAGCAAAATACCCACATTCTCCTAATATTCAATGCAGGAGGGTTAGACATTCACACAAACCATTTTACTCCATGTTAATTGTCCTTCAGGTTCGATTTTTAAATAAACACAACTCACAATTACAATGCTTTTTGGGACCGTGATTACTACAAAATACTACAAAACTACAGTGTTGGTATTATACTGGTGTGGGTTTTCTATTCTTTCTCCAAAGCCCAGTGGCGCAAACACCAAACCTGAGTACCTGTCAATCATTGTGGACAGCGGAGAGGGGCCAATAGAGGAGCAGTGTGAGAGACTGCAATACGACCCGCACCAATGGGAGTTCCCTCGGGAGCGGCTCAGATTAGGTACAAGAATGCAGAAATGGATGTTTTTAACATAAGTGACTTGTGATATGAAGGATTTTGGGATTGTAATGCTAACGAGAGAGCGAAGGAATTTTAGATCACATTACAGATAGAAGGACTTTCTCAGAGGTCTTATCAGATTATTATTGGGAGTGACTCTCATTCCATTAATCAGACTTTTGTGTCTGTGTTGTCTGTGGAGAGCTAATCAACTACAGCGGGGGGGGGGGGGGGGGGGGGGGGG